ATTAATGAATCATGTTTTGCGTGCTTTCATTGGCAAATTTGTGGTTGTTTATTTTGATGACATTCTGATATATAGTAAGAGTTTAACTGATCATATTGAGCATATACGAATGGTATTAGAGGTTTTGAGAAAAGAAAACTTGTTTGCTAACATTAAAAAGTGTTCCTTTTGCACAAATCAGATTGTCTTTTTAGGGTATGTTGTTTCAGCTGATGGAATTGCACTAGACGAAGAAAAGATTAAGGTTAAAGAATGGCCAACACCTAAGAATATTTTTGAGTTGTGGAGTTTTCATGGTTTGGCGAGTTTCTATCGGAGATTCATCAAGGACTTCAGCACAATTGTAGCTCCATTGACTGAAATCATGAAAAAAAGTGTTGGATTTAAGTGGGAAAGTGGACAGGAGAATGCTTTCAATTTGATTAAGGAGAATTTAATTTCTGCACCATTATTTGCTTTACCTGATTTTACTAAAACTTTTGAAATTGAATGTGATGCATCAAGTATTGGCATTGGCGCAGTTTTAATGCAAGAGCGACAAACTGAGCAATATGCAAATCAGGCCAACAAAGGGTGCAAGAAAGTTGTGTTTGAACCTGGAGATTGGGTTTGGGTGCATATGCAGAAAGAGCGATTCCCTGGACAAAGGCATTCTAACTTGCAACCAAGAGGCGATGGACCATTTCAAGTGATTGCAAAGATAAACGACCATGCATACAAGTTGGAGCTTCCTGGTGAGTATAATGTTAGTGCTACTTTTAATGTTTCTGATCTTTCTCCTTTTGATGTAGGTGATGATTTGAGGACAAATCCTTTTGAGGAGAGAGGGAATGATGGGAATCAAGATGACCCCACATGTATCACGTCAAGAGATCCATTACATATTCCAAAAGGTCTAGTCACGAGAGCTAGAGCTAAGAAGATGCGAGAAGCTTTAAATGGCCTTATTGAGCAGATCTGGGTTGATAACCACATGCACATGTAAATCAAAGCTTGGATGATTGTCAAGGCATGATAAACATTATTCAGGTTGAAGAGAAGCTTAATTGAGGTCATTTGTGCTAAATTACACAGTTTGCGTCAATCTCACAATTCTGTTGCAATTTGTAACAAACTGATATTTCATGTTACTTTAGGTTACTTTTAGTGTTTTTGATGTCTTTTTATATTATTTTGGGTTGAACATTCATTTATTTAAGACCCAATTCGTGGTTATTAGGTTTAGGACTTAGGGTGTTAGTTTCCTATTCTGATTAGGATTTGTTTTCTCTATTTAAAAGGCTTGTAACCCTAATGGGGAGGAGGCTATTGAATCTGAGATTTTGAGAGACTTTTCTCTTTGGTTCATTTTAGAACTTTACAGAACTTATCAAGATTATTCTTGTGGCGTTCTAACCTGACTTATCATTCTCGTTCTTAATCGTTCGAGGGTGTGGCGTCAACCAACTTTATACCTCTGGTTCTTGTTGCGTCATAGACAACGGGTCAAGGTTTTTACCTTTGGTTCTTGTTACGACATAAACAACGGGTCAAGGTCCTATTATAAACCTGATTTAGCTTTCCTGGAGTTTGGAAATCCCTTGTCGTGCTGTGGGTCTCATTGTTCTCTTTGGGGTTCTCATCAGGTTGATTATGTTCTTGATGTGCTTCCATTGATGGCGAGCAAGTTGGTAGTCCATAGTGTGCTTAAATGGTAAGTTGTGGTTGTGGTTTTAAAGTTTGATGTGCATGTGGTTTTAATGATTCATTAATATTTTTTATAATTTGTGATTGTATATAGAAGGATTTTGAAGTTTGTTTAAATGGTCATAGTTAATAGTGAAGTATGTCTCATACTCCTGTTAATACAGATTACATAGTTGATGTTGTTGAAAAAAAAAAAGGAAACGATAATAGCAAATTCTGGAAAACAGTAGAAATGGACTGAAGAGTCGAATATAGAGACTCTTCAAGCATATGAGAGTCAACTATAAAGCAGCAAGAGTCGACTCCCATATTCCAGTAAGTAGGAAATGCATTTGCTACAGCTCATAATCGACTCTCCATTATAGAGTCAACTCTTTTGGATTCAGAGTTGACTTTATAATATGAAGAGTCGACTACCAAAGTCTAGTATGCAGGAATTTAATTTGCTACAGTCTATAGTCGACTCTCCATTATAGAGTCAACTCTTTTTGATTTAGAGTCAACTCTATAATGTGAAGAGTCGACTACCAAATTTCAGTATGCAGGAATTTAATTTGCTGCAGCCTATAGTCAACTCTCCATAATAGAGTCGACTTTAAATCAAAAAGAGTCGACTTTATGATGTGGATAGTCGACTACCAAATCCCAGTAAGTACCATATTTTTTCCCTTCAAATAGTTGACTCTTTATGTTGAGAGTCGATTCTTATTCTTTTACAGTCGACTCTACTATGTAAGATTGGACTCTTGAACTATGTGGTTCACAAAGTAAAAGAATTTCATGCAAACTCTTAACAATCAACGTGAGAAATACTTAGAAATCATTAATAAATGTTGTAATGTCAAAATATATTAGATAATCACAAGAAAACAAGAGAAATTGGAAAAAAAAATTGGAAAAAAAATTGAAGAGCATAAGTAAGACAATGATATTATGGTTCTTGAATGGATCGTAATTTTTAAACGGCAGCATCCCAATACTTTTTTTCAAATGTAAGACGCCTACCATTACCAAAAATCTTTGTAATTATTTCGGAGGACTCAGCAGGGGTTTTGGGTGGAAGTGACAAAAATGGTGATCGATAATGTGCTGAGCAAAATTTTGCAATATGACCCTCATGGTTACACAGTTGACAAGTTACAGCATATCGGTGCGGGCAAACTGTAGCTAAATGTCCAGGAGTATCAAATATTTGACAAATAGAGTAGTCTCCAGTATTAGGCAATGGAATGTGTTGGTCAATTGATACATTATTCTTTGCTCTTTTCAACTTCCTCTTAGGAGGACTTTTAGATGAGCAATTCCATAATGATTCAGGAGTATCCTCAACAATTCCTGTGTAAAATAGCATAAAGTTAAGTAATATAATAATAAATGGGGTGCATGAACGGGAAATGAGAAATAAGGGAAGGAAAAAAAATTATACCATTATATTGGCTGTCAAAATAATCTTGACTTTCCAATTGATTGTCAAAATAATCTTGACTTTCCAATTGGTTGTCAAAATATTCTTGACTTTCCAATTGGTTATCAAAATATTGCTGACTCTCCATTAAACAATAGAAAAAAGAGTTTTGAAATTTATAAAAACTATTACTTTTAAATTATAATATAAAAGTAATTATGCGAGGATAAAAAAAAAGTAAATTGAAAGAGTAAGGGAGAAATAACAAGAAATTGAGAAGTGTGAGAGGTGTGTATATATTGCCAATGGAAAGGTGTAGATATAATGGGTGAGCTACCAGTCAAAGGATTTTCAACAACATGGGCATTGTTGCTGAAATTCACTTTTAGCAACAAGAACCATGTTGCTGAAAGTGGACCTAAAATGTGTGGTGACTGGAAAATGTTAGCAACAAGGGGCATGTTGCTGAAATTCACTTTCAGCAACACACCCCTTGTTGCTGAAAGTGGAAGTGGTGATCCTCTCGTGGTGGTTGGAGATGGCCTGTATATATATATATATATATAGGTTTGGCCAACCACCGGTCAAAGAATATCAGCAACATGTTCCTTGTTGCTGATGTTTGGTTGGTAAAAAGATAAGAATAACAACAACAAGATATATGTTGCTAATACTTAAGGTTTTTAGAAACAAGGAACATGTTGAAAAGTATAGCTCAATTTCATTCCTAGGGACTCACCGGAAAGAAGTATATTACTGAAAGTGGGGCTGCTTTTTTAGGTGGAGGCATAAGGAAGAACTTTCAGCAACAAGCCCTATGTTGCTGATACATATTTTCAGCAACAAACAATCCCATGTTGCTGATATATTGTTGCTAAAAGCCAAAATTTTAGTAGTGCTTCTTCTAGGTCAAAGTTGGATTCCCACCTTCTCATAGTTAGGAAGTAGGGGTTAATAAACCAAGGGCTCCCTTGGATCACCTTGCTCAAATCTTCATTATCATGGAAGCGAACCAAAAAGAAATCAAGTCCCAAATCAATAAAATCCCATTTACCGGTAGGCTTCCATTGTGCCTTAACACGAGGATAAACATAGTTATAACCCAACAACTTGTGGTGGAAGGCCTTGATGATGATAGCGTTCATCCATGGTTCCCTAATACATCTTTTCTCTACTTTAGAAAGCAGAACAACTGGAGCATCATCATCCGGTCGTCATCCACATGTGAATCTTCCTCCATGTTGTTGGGTATTGTGGAGAAGGAAATGACCGACGGGTCCTCAACCACTAAAAGTTTGTCTCTATGGAAAGTCCTAGTAGTTGCTCCAGATAACTGTGGGAAGTTGAGGGTGGGGAGATCTTCGTCCATCAGAGCACCCTGGGGATTTGATTGATCCTGAACTTGTTGTAGATCCATGGTTTCCATCAAGAGAGGATCCTTGCTTTGGGAATTCAAGCTAACATCCTCCTTGATCCGCTTAACATTACGATCAAGGAGGTCTAATTCCTCCGATGATGGTTGGGCGGTAGAAAGCAAGAGAGTTTTAGACATGGCACCCTGAAAGCGCGTTCAAGCTCCTTGTCGAGAAAGTCCAATCTCCAACTATAATACCCCAAAATTTCTAGAGCATTAAAGTGTGAGTTAGGGACCTAATTGTGAAGAAATATTATTAATGAACTTAATGGCAAAAATTTTCAAAATTCAGGGACTTAAAAGAAAAGAAATGAGATAAGGATCATCTGCTTTTTCTTTTTCTTTTTTTTCTTTCTTTCTTTTCTTCCTCATCAGACCCGCGACCTGCTTTTCTTCTTTTTCTCCTCGACAAGCCCCTTCCCAGCCGCCAACTTCCTCCTTGAAAATTGGTGACAAAGCTTGGATATTTTCCCCTCATTCTTGTACAAGAACAAGCTATGGGACTTAGAACCCTCCCTCTAAAGCTGGAAACTGTCGATTTGCTCTGTTCTTCCTTTCTATCGGCAAGCTGTTGTGGGTGTGTAGGTCTGAAATTTTGGGTGTTTTCGGTAAGAATTAACCCTGAAACTCCTCTCTTTAACCTTAATTTATGTTGGGTTCACCCTAACCTGGTTTGTTCTTCCAATTTTGGGTTAATTCCGTGAGTTCCCTTGCAGAATTGCCGCCGGCCTCTTTCCCCTGCCAGATTCGGTTCTGTAGCTGGAAAATTTTGGTATGATGGCCACTCCTCTAAGTCCAATTTCACCCATTTAGCTGCTGTTTGAATTTCCCTGTATTATCTGAAATTTGCTGAAAATTGGGGATGAATTTCGGTAGCAATTAGAGCATTTTAAGTGTGTTTTGTTGCTTAATTCATGTAGAATTTAGTTGATTTGGGCTGTTGTGATGTTGTGTAGGAAAAATCCCGTGGCTTAGCCATTGTTGGCCAAAGCCATGGGTCTCCATTGCTTGTTCGGGAAATTGGAAAATTGGTATATATGTGTGTGGGTATAATTAAACCCATAAATGGAAATAAAAGCTGGTTCCTCCATCTTGTTTTAGCTAAAAATATATATATATATATATATATGTGTGTGTATTTATGTATATATATGTCACGCCCCAGAACCCAAATCCGGGAACGTGGCAGACGCCGTGCACTCGTGAGACGGGTCCCACAAATGCACAAGGCTCGGAACTTATCATATCACACTCTGATACCACCAAAATCTGAAGATCAAATCTTTAAAATTCTCTCTCATATCATAAAATCTTCAAATACAAGATCATGATTCATATCTAAAATTTATATCCAATTACAATATGGCTAGCCTTCTAACTCGTCACTTCCCGTGGTTTCCCCGTCCTCGATTTCACTTCCTGAAATGGTGGACAAGGAAAACTATGAGATAAACTCAGTAAGTAAATATGGAGTGCCCTTAATTAAACTCATAGCATGCCAACAAGTGTAATCAGAAAACGGATACAAGTACGGGAACAAAATAGACGTCTCCTCTATAGGTCACGGCCAGCGTTTATAAACCTCCCACTGGCGGGCACACGATTTGCTGGTGTATAACCCCCACTAGCAGGGTTGAACGAACCGGCTCTTTCACTAACATGTCGACATGTGCTAGCGTTTATAAACCTCCCACTAGCGGGCACACGAATAACATGACCATATCGGAGACAAAACAGGCAGAAGTTAACAGGAAAATCACAATTCACAATCACTTTCAGATCATCAGGACAGTTCACAATCCACTTTCAAGTAGGCATGCTCAATTTCATGAAAAGCACAAAACATTTCACTTCAAATCAGTCACACTTATGTAAAACGGGTTTAGTCCCGTCACCACTTCAAAAACAAATCAAAACATGCTTTTAAAACAGTACGGGCATTACCATAAATTTACTTACCTCACTCGCATAAAACCGAGCACTCGATCTCAGTGCTAACTGACAGAACGATCGAGAACCTAATCAAAATATCCACGAATTAATACCGGACTATCACAAATTCACACTGAACACTTCATTAGGATCATTCCTAATCACAATGCTATTTCCTATCAATCTCCACATGATCGGACATCTCCAAATTCGTTCTCATATCACAAACTAATCATTTAAATTCCCGTTAAATGTTGGCCCTCGGGGTGTGAACAGTAACCGGTGAACAGTGTCGGTGAACAGTGACCCCAACGTGAACAGTACTCCGACGTCCACAAATTGGCCAAAACACTAGCTAATCTCACGGGATTTTCTCTCCAAAAATCACAACAATTAATCAAGCTAATTTACACTTAAACCAAGCTTAAAACATGCTCAAAGGCTACCGGGATTTCCCCCATTTTTCTACCAAAATTCGACATCACACGGCAGCAAACTAATCAAGCTAATTCTACCTTAATCAAGCTTAAAAACAATGGTTTAAGGCTGCCACATACCAGAATTTTCCAGCTAAAACCGGAGCTGCAGGGGGAAGAGAAGCCGGCGGCAATTCTGCAGGAAACTCACGGGTTTCCCAAAAATTGGAGGAAATAAGAGCAATTAACGTAAACCCAAGCCAATTCAAGGAAAAACAAAGGGATTTAATGGCTGTTTCTTACCCAAAACCGGAGCAAATCACCCCCACAAAGCAGGAGCAGCCGGCGGTGAGGAGCAGAGCAAGGCAGATCCGGCTTTTCCAGCAGGGGAGGGAAGATTTCTGGGTTCTAGGTGTGTTCTAGAGCAAGAAGGAAGGAGAAAACCAAGCTTATCTCACTAGTTTTCCAAGGCATGGCTGGGTTCCCTTTCTTTTTTCTTTCGAGTGGCTGCAGCGGAAAGAAAGAAGAAGAAGAGCAGAATCGGGCAAGGCTGGGAAGAAAAGAAAGAAAGAAAAAGAAAAAGAAAAGAAACTCATCCTTATCCAAAACTCTTCCCTCTTTAAGTCCCTCAACTTTCAAACTTTTGGCTATCAAGCCCAAAACAATATTTTCTCACACAAAAACCCTTACTTAAATGCTAAAATAGCACAAAATTTTGGGGTATTACAATATATATATATGTGCACAATTGATTTTAGTGCTCAATTTTCGGAAAGAAGGAAATAAAATAAAATAAAGAAATCAATATTGCTTGATGAGATTAATGACCGGCAATAATAGAAAAGGATTGAATGTTTAGTTTGATATTAAAACAAATTTGGAGATGTCTGGTCATGTGGAAACTGATAGAAATAGCATCGTGATTAGGGGGTAGTCATGGTGATTTTACTTTTGAATCGTGGTACGGTAATTAATTCTTGGATATTTTGATTAGATTCCTGATCGTTCTGTCAATTTAGCATTAAGATCGAGTCTTCGGTTTTATGCAAGTGAGGTAAGTAACTTATATGGTAATGCCCTGGATTTAAGGTAAAGCTTTTAAAAGCAAATTTTTGATGGTTTTGAAATGGTAGCGGGACTAAATCCGTTTTACACAAGCATGACTGATTTGAAGTGAAATTTTTATGCTTTTCATTAAATTGAGCATGCTTACTTGAAATTTAATTGATTGTTCTTATGATCTGAACGTGATTAGTGAATTATGATTTTTCTGTTAACTTCTGCCTGTTTTGTCTCCGATATGGTCATGTTATTCGTGTGCCTGCTAGTGGGAGGTTTATAAATGCTAGCACATGTCAACATGTAATTGATAGAACCGGTTCGTTTCTGTTATCTTGCTAGTGGGATTATACACTAGTAAATCGTGTGCCTGTCAGTGGGAGGTTTACAACACTGGCCATGACCTATAGAGGAGACGTCTATTTCATTCCCATACTATATCCGTTTTTTTTATTACACTTGTTGGCATGCTATGAGTTTAATTATGAGCTATCCATATTTACTTACTGAGTTATCTCACCTTGTTTTTCCTTGCCTACCATTTCAGGTAGTGTGACCCGAGACACGAAAATCAAGGGGAGTGATGTGGTAGAAGGCTAACCACTTGAGATTTGACATAGATTCTAGATATATATATACCACACTCTTGTAAGTTAGATTTTAATTAGAAATTTTATGGTATCAAAACTGATTTTGTTGAGTAAGTTCCGAGCCTTGTGCACTTGTGGGACTCGTTTCACAAGTGTATGGTGTCTGTTACACCCTCGGATTTGGGTTCTGGGGTGTGACACCAACCTTTGTAAAAGGCTTTTTGAAGTTTTGGTTATGTTGTTCTTGATTCAGAAATAAATGGATTTAATTTTCCAGAAAAATCATAAGGCATTACCAAGGATTATGCAATTGATCGGCTTCTAAAAGATGACTAGTACCAAATGACCTCTAATCACCATTAATCGCCATTAATGTTTTTAACTTTTGCTCATTTAAATCCGCACCTAAGGTTATTTTAAAAATTAAAAATTTATCTAACTTATTTTATTAAGAGACAGATTAAATTAAGGATGTAATTTATATAATTTTTTATATTAATTAATATAAATATAATAAAATTAATATTAATTTTATTATTAATATTTTGTAGATTATTGATGAAATAAATATCAAATTTTATTTTTTTAATAAGAATTTTTTTAGTTTGTACACTAAGAATATTTTGTTATTATAAATATATATAGAAAAATATAAAAACTGATATTAATTTTAGCATTAGGTAAATTTAATTAGATAATTGATAAATTAAAAATTAATTTTTATTTTTTAATATAAATTTATAATAAAAAAAGTATATTTAAGATACTTTAAAAATACAAATTAAATAAATTTTTTTAATAATAATTAATTTAAAAATATTTTTAACATGTAGTTTTAGGATACATGTTAAAAAACTAAAAAATTAATGATATTAATTACATTTTTCCATACTTCCTTTTTTTTCCATTTTTTGGGTACCACTGAAAAGAATGAATTAGATTCGAAGACCTAGAAAACATGGTTCCCATAGCATCACTAAATAAATTATGGCTCAAGCACGTGGAGGAGATACCAAGAGAGTAATCGTGCCATTGGAGCAAGGGGGTATGCAGCTACGTTGCCTTTCTCTGAGTGTGTGTCCAAGTTTACAATGTGTAAATGTCTGAATTAAGGACCCCTAGTATCCAGGACTAGAGCTGCAATTGTGCCATTTGGCTCGCTGTTCTCTTTAACCAGTTGGATAGCAACCAAAGAATCAAGCTCCCCTATCAATTTCTCAATGCCCAGAACACGGCGGAGGCGAAAAGCTTCCCTTAAGCCCCAGAGTTCTGCAATGAAGCGAGTTCCAACGTTGGCCACAAAACCATGAGGCCGCGATCCTTGTGCATCTTGGACCAAACCACCTGCACTGGCCAAGCCTGAATTGCGTGGAAAAGACCCATCTGTGTTTAGCTTGGGCATACCATCATCATGGGGATGCCACCTTATCTAGCGGGTCCTTCTAAACTGTTAAAAGAAAAGTAAGAAGATAACATGAGAATAAAAATGTTTTGAGATGTGATTTCATTTTTTTTTAAATTTGAAATTCTTTAAATACATCAAAATTTAAAAATTCTCTTAGAATTTGGTATAAAATATAAATTCTATTAAAGAAATTTTATATTTGGTGAATAAATACCAGCTGAAATTATATATCTTTGCACAAAGACCTAGTCAAAGGAATTTGTCCCTATAAAAAAATATCATCATGAAAAAGATATTTTTTAGTTGTCAAAAGTTTTTGAATTTCATATATATTTTTTCAATTTCAAAAAAGTTAAATTAAATTAAAAATAAAAAATTAATTAAAAAATTAATTTTCTTCGAATAAGTCAAAATCCCAAGAAGCCCAACTGCACATCTAAATAATAATATGAAATGGTAAGGCCTAAAACCAAAGCCCACATGCCATGAATTCCAACTTTCAATAATTATTTATGAACAGAATGCAAACATATATAAATTTCTATATTTCCTTATTCTTCTCTAGAACATTCTTCATTTCAAATGATTCAACATTGACTATCTATTCACCACGATGTTTTGAGCATCACTACTAAAATGTAGAGTTTCAGTCATGTGGATCTATCTAAGCCTCGTCATTTGCATTGCTAGGCTTGTGGGTGAATGTCTTGTGATAGTTTAGTCCCTTGGTAAAAGAATTAGTGAGGTGGATTGTACCTATGGGTGAATATTTCATTTTCACCCATGTGGTGTTTAATGTTATTTAATAGTCACCGGAGCATTTAGTTGAAATCTTCAAACACAAATAGTAAGGCAAACTACATGGGTGAATCTTCTCTTTCACTTACGTGGACCTTATTACTATCTAAACGCAAGGGAATGGTTCTATCTAACTCTATTTGACATCACTATCTAACTCTATTTGACATCACTATCTAACTCTACTTGACATCACAAGTGATATCATACTTGCTATTGCAATTGTTTTTATGTAAGTAAATCTTATATTTTACCTACATGGATTTTATTATTTCATAAAGGCGTGTGAAAGTGTACTAAAGTTTATATACTCTATAACTCACGTGAAATAGAATACTACACCATCAATTAGTAACGTAAAAAGTATTGCTAATACTTTTTATCCTTACTGATATGTGCCAAAATGCTAAGTCTTTGTGTTAAAAAAAAAAAAAAAATTACCCATGTGAACTAAAATCTAAGTATTTGTTAAAAAAAAAAAAAAACATTTACCCATATGAACCAAAATGCTAAGCATCTTTTCTAAAAATTAAAATTAAAATATTCATAAACTACATTTGATATCAATTTAGATTATTAAAATATGCTACAAATATGATTAATAACAAATATCAATTATGTTTATTAAATAACTTAATATTTCCATTTGTAAGCAATTATAAAACAAAATTAATCCATTTATATATAGAATGAACTTGAAAGAATAATTAATAATTAAATGAACTAAAAACTAAATGTAAAAATTCAATCAGATTCATAAAATTTAACAACGTACCTTTAAAAAATTATGGCAATTTCAACCATTATTAGTGCTTACAAAATATTACAAGATATATTTGAATTTAAGTGGAAAAAAGTTACAAATCGCTAAAATATAACTCAAAATGAGAAACTAAATCAATTTAAACCTCTTAAATTAGGAATAATATCTTAGCTATAAAACCAAAGCAAATATTCATATGAGTATATCAAACAATATTTGCCCAACTTCACATTTACATAAATTTTGATATAAAAATGAAAATT